ATATATATATATATATATTTGTTTTGATGCCCAAATATCCTCAAATTGATCAAAGATGCATGAATTTGAGGAAAAAAATAGATTTCACGCTTTGAAAATAGTGCATTTTGTAACGCATTTTTGGATCGTCAATTTTTAAGTTATTCAAGTTTTCATAGATCTATTCGATCTACACTATTTTTGAAGCTTTAAATTTTATTATTAAAGATGAACATATATTTTAAGGCTAGTTAAATATTTCCAGTTTTGAAATTACATTTCTCTACACTATTTGAAGGTGAGCTCGCATTTGATTGTTTAGAGCCTCGACTCTATACAAACCACACCCATATATATATTATTTGTAGTATTCTATGGTATCCTAATAATGACTCAACTAATTCATCATCACAGTCTTTTCCCAATTAATTGGGCCTGCTACACGAATTCTAATATGCTATTCTGATCTATTAAAAGCCCATACCCTCAGTGAGGTCATAAGTCTCCATATCTTTTAATACTACTTCAAACTGCATCCTTTAGGGTTTACCCCTTGCCATTTTCAGTCCTTCTACTTGAACTAACTCATACCTCATAACAGGCGATGTACTTGGTCGGCGCCACACATGGCTAGCCTACCTAAGTCTACTCTCTATCATCTTACGCCCTATTAGTACCACACGTAAATTCTCTCGTATGGATTCATTTTGCATTCTATCCGTTCTTGTCTTGCCACTCATCTATCTCAACATCCTCATCTCCACTATACTCATTCTATAGGGATATTGTTTTTTGTCCGTCCAACATTCCGCCCCATAGAAATTCTGGTTGATAGAAATTTTGGAGTGGGTCGCTCTATTGAAGGGAGTTCGATGAATGTTATTAAGTGGTGCAAAAGAGAGCAGCGTATTCCATGGCAACTTAAATCGATTGGGCTATAAATCTGCGATATGATGGCCTCCTTGACATTATCTTGTACCCATGTGTATAGGGAAACCAATGAAGTTGCAAATCTTTTGGCTAAGAGGGATGTGTCTTTAAGCTCTTTAGCTATTTTATGATGATGTAAGCTCTTTATTGTAAATCTCTCCTTTTAAAAATAAAATTTTGAATTGTGTAAAAAAAAACATTCCGCCCCATAGAGCAAAGCTGGTCTTATAGGTGTCGTATAAAACTTGCCCTCCAACTTCATTGGTGTGGCGGTCACATAAAATTTTAGTTGCACATATCCATTTTGCCCATCTAGCTCTGATTTTATGTGTGACGTTTTCTTCAATTTCTGTATTTTCTTGGATTATCGACCCAAGATATCAAAAGTGCGGTCTTTTTTGTACTTCATGGTCGTATATCTTAAGTACTTCCTCGTCTCTGCTTCTATTATTAAGAAACTTGTATTCCATACACTCTGTCTTAGTCTGGCTAATTTTAAAGAGCTCACTTAATTAAAATAAAAAAGTAGGTGATGTTTGTATAAAGTTGGCTCATTATATTGTATAAGCAATTCACATATCTAAAATTTGCCTAGAGATGTCGTTCCGCTGTCGAAGACCCTATGATAACTTGAAAATCTAATTTCATCTCTAGCTATAAACTTTCAATTTTCAAAAATGACCCACTTCAAGTAAATCATTAACATTTGAAAATCTTGTAAGTGGACGATCAAAATATTTTGTTACAAGATGCAAAGAAACATTAACCAAAATGCTCTTCCATGCTTTCGGGGTTATTTTTTTTTTTTTTATTATTATTATTTTTTTTTTGAGTGTACTGCATAAAGATTAATCTGTGCTATAATTTTTCATGTGAACAAAAAAGGGTAAAACTAAAAAATCTAAAAAGTAAATCTATGATAGTTCACATATTAAAAGGAGAAGAGAAAAAAAAAAACAGAGCTTGAGGGTGATTTTGGTAATTCAAAATTATTACGTAAAATCTGGCCTTTTAAAAATGGATACTATCAGGCCTATTATACTTTATGAAAACAAAATAAAGTCTCACCTCAAATCCTCATTCGAAAAGCACTTCCGGCATCAAAAATCTCTATGATAGCGCTAAAATTAATTTTCAAATCCTCATTCAAAAAGCACTTCCGGCATCAAAAATCTCTACAATAGCACTAAAATTAAATTTCAAATCCTCATTCAAAAAGCACTTCTGGCATCAAAAATCTCTACGATAGCACTAAAATTAATTTTCCAACACTAAGAATAAAATTTGAAATTTAAAAAATGGTAATAATATTGTGGATTTATGAATATTTATTTTTAGGGAGTAATGGACGGTCTAGATAACTTTATGCAATATAAACTATTTTTACAGCTTGAAATACTAATTTTTTTCACAATTATAATGTTGAATACAAAATGATCAATTTAAATATTTTTTAATGCTTGAATTGCAATTTATAATGAGTTATGAGGTGAGGCTTTACTTATTTTGATAGACTCTCTTTTTTTAAAATTTGAGGTTTTTTTTTTTTACAATCAAGTAGATATTAAGTGCCAAAACTTAACCCAGCATTCAAACGCACTCTTACTTGCTCACCGAAAATTTGGGTTTTTTTTGAATTTTTTTATACAATCAAGTAGATATTAAGTGCCAAACTTAATGCACCATTCAAACGCATTCTTACTTTCTCACCGGATTTTCTGGAGGGAGAAAGAGGTCGTGTAATGACCATTAAGAGAGATTCTTTGAGAGAGAGAGTAATAAGTTCTGATTTGAAGGGAGAGAGGGGGAATTAGGACCTTTTTTATTGTTCCTGTGCGGGAGTTTTTTTCCTATTTTCATCCGTTCCCCTCTCCACAATCTCCCTCTTCTTGGAGCCTCCCTCCCTCCGTCCCTCCTTGCTCTCTCTCACCCTCTGCGAACTAGAGTTGGAGCAACCTGTGCGATCAAGAGCAATCCTGAGCGAGCAAGAGCAGCAACCTCTCAATCAGTGAGTTATATGCAGATTTTTCATTTTTTTTCTTACTAATTTAGGTTTTCGTATCCTCTAGGGATTTTTTTAGAAACCCTGTAAAAGAATTTAGGTTTTAGAAACCCTGTAAAATAATTGAAGGCTTTGCTTATTTTTCAATGTTGTAAATCTGCCCTAAAAAAATTTAGGGCTCTGCTAATATTTCTCTGTTGTAAATCTCCTGGATTTTATTCTGTTTTCTGGTTTCTTGCTCGATTTCTTTTCATACACAAGTGAACAAGAAAATCGGATTTATTTCATTGATTCATAACATTTGATGCTCCAAATGCATGTGAAAAACCAGCAACCTTGATTCATATATTTATGTATTGTGATTCTAGTTTACTGATTCTAGAGAGCTACATTAGTTCTTTATTTCATGGCTTGAAATGGGAGCCATGAAATTTCAGTTTACAGTATGAAACTTTCATCTCTTGCTATGTATATATATATATAATTTCGGCGCAAGATCTACCCTAATGAAACTTCTAACATTGATCTTAATTTATCTTAAAAATGTAAAAAGAACAGAGTTATAAACGATCAATTGTTGTAAGATTGAAACATAATAAAGAAAAGCACATATGAGAATTAAAGCAGAAATCCAAGATATATCAAGAACAATCCACGAATTATGAGTCAGATTACGAATTTTAAAAGTAAATACAAATTTCAACTGCATCATAGATTGAGAAAGAAACAGTAGAACTTACTGTTGACATATACATAAACTGGCAAAATGTTTCCACTCGGAGGGATAGTAAGAAGGTAGAGAGGAAATATTACAATCACACATTTAAAGTAGTAAGAGGTTACCGACTTGATGTACAGGCGGCTGAAGAGAATAAACCTACTGTCTATAGAAAATAGAAGAAAGCAAAGTAGAAGAGAGAGAAGGAGAGAGAGAAAGTATGCGTCATTATGTTGAGTTTGCTTCAGATGCTTTCTTTGTAGTCCTTGCGAAGTCTGTTTTGCAATGAGGCGAGAAGGGGTATTTATAGGCATAAAGAGAGGTGGCGTGCCTTCGAGATGAAGGAAAGGATGTGGCTGAAGAAAGTGCCGTGAGGGAGGAGATAGCTGATGTGGGATGCATGGCTGAGAGCGGTGCCGTAGTGAGGGAGAAGATAACTGACATTAGACGAGTGGCTGAGAGAAGTGCCGTAATGAAGAGGGTAATCGATAGGGGACAAGTGGTAGGAGAAGAGGGCGGCCGTGCGTAGGTGGCGAATCTTTTGGCCTCATACGTGCGGGAGTGAAGGAGTTGGCTTCGTTTGTACGAGAGTAAAAGGAATAAGAAGAGGACACGTGACTTTGATTGTGACCTTCTTCACTGTGGTATGGAATCTTTTTATTGAGGATGGCATCTGCGGGGTCGGATGAAGGAAAAAAGGGGAGAACAGGGAATCTTTTTTATTATGGGTCATGTCAAAGGATAAGGGGAATCTTTATTTGCTTTATGGTGGGGTTTCAGCATGTCACATCTGTCGGGTTATGTCAGGTCTCATGCATTTGGATCTTGGCTGAAATCTTCTAGCAGTGGATTTCCCGACTGGACTGTCTCTTCGGATGTAGTTGGTCTTGGATTTGAAGTGGCAAAGATTTGCAAGAGATGTTCTCTTAGCTCTTCGAGAGTGGCATTTGGATGGGATAGTCTCATTTTTTTAATATATGCAGAAAATGTGGGAAGGCTGACAGTATTATTTTCTTGGGGGTGAATTAAGTCAAATTGAGGAGGTATTCGTTTGAGTGTCAAGAGGAGGGTTTAGTACTGTAAATATCCCACCATTTGATTTTGATGGTTTTACCAAGGAGAGGGACATATTCAAAATTATTGGTATTATTTTCAGAAAAGCAGTAATCCCATTTTAGAATCCATGGGATTTGATAGATAGCCATAAAGTATAGGTGATAATCATCTTGGGGAGTGCATGTATTATGAATGGCAAATTTTTCTTGAAAGGCTTGAAATTCATTTGGTAATATTTGAGTATGTGATCCCCATATTAGGAACCAATGTCGGAACCAGCTAGGGAACCGTTCCAAGATAGGGAATTTAAACTGGACATACCAAGAATGAGTATTATTTGGATTTTGATATGCAAAGACCTTATGCCAGGCCTCAATATACTCAGCATACCTATAATATTTGTATTGGAATTTAGGATTGGCTAACTTTTTGCCTTAGATAAGGTTATTACCCCAATCGTCATAAGATAAGAATTTTTTAATTTGTAATTTAGAATATGCATATAGTTTAGTATTACCTTGATAGAAATGTATGATGGATACTGAACCAGTTTCCATGAGTATAGCCTCATACCATTCACGAGTCTTGGCTCCATTAGTAGGGTTCAAGTGATTCGTGAGATATGAGGGAGCTAATTTATTTGGGTCAATGTTTATATGCTTGTCGCATATGGGTATATCAGCCAGAAATGCGGTTTCAACATAAACTGACTTCGAAACAGAGGAAGTTTGTCTATTTGGGTAGGCAGCTAGAGTAAATGCCGGACTAGGAGTTTGTATTGGACTTTGAAGAGGAGTCTGGATGAAATATTCTGGTACATTTGTCGATCGCATGGGTGACATGGGTGTTATTGGTAAAGAAGAACTGGGCATAAGAGGCCTAGATATGGGGCAGGGTACCAAGTCCATTTTTTGTTTGTCATGAGTGTTTCCTTGAGATGTCTTCATATTTGTATGAGTATTGTTAAAAAATAACTGTAAACCGTAAGGAATGCTATCTGGAATACTATCTAGCTCAGGTAGTGATAATATACGGCCCCCCCTGTAAAAATTCACGGGTAAGAAAGTCAAGTAACGAATTAGTAGAGCCGGGAAGATGTTCAATAGAAAAATCAAAAGCGGATAATATCGCTTGCCAACGGGCAAATATTTGTTTTGAAACAAGATTTTGAATATCCTTTTGCAGAATGTCTTTAGCAGCTTTACAATCAGTACGCATCAAGAAATGTTGATTCAAAATATCACTTTGAAACTTAGTAACACAGTGTATAATGGCAAGTAATTATTTTTTGATAGTAGAATAATTTTTTTGTGTAGGATTCCATGCTTTAGAAGTAAAGAGAATTAATTGCTCAGTAGAATCACACCTTTGTTTTAGTATGCCGTTGAGGCCTAAGTCAGAGGCATCGCATTCAATGATTTTAAATGCAGTAGGATTGGGAAGTGTTAAACAAGGTAATTCTTTGGCTTTTTGCTTCAGTCGTTGAACAGCTAAAGTATGGATCTCAGTCCATGGTGGAGGATTCTTTTTTAACCTATCATATAAAGGTTTGGCTTCTATGGCAAGATTTTGATAGAAATTACTAATATAATTAAGACATCTTAGAAATCGTTGCAATTCGGTTTTGTCTACAATTTTATCAGGGAATTTATCAGCAAATAAAATTGATCTATCAATGGGGATAATTGTACCTTGGTTACTATTATGTCCTAAAAATCGGATTTTGGTTTGGAATAAATTAAGATTTTTAGCAGAAACAACTAAACCAGCATGTTTGATAGTATTGATAAAAGTATGAAGATGTTTGAAATGTTGATCTAAAGAATCAGAATAGACCAGTACATCATCTATATAAACAATCATAAATTTATGATAAGGATTGAAGACATCATTCATAATTTTCTGAAATTCAGATGGAGCATTTTTAAGGCCAAAAGGCATTACATTCCATTCATATTGTCCGAATGGTACATTAAAAGCAGTTTTATATTTGTCTTCTTCTTTTTTCTGAATTTGCCAGAATCCTGATTTTAAATCAAGTTTTGAAAAGATAACAACATGTACTAATCGATCCAATAAATCTTTTTTATTGAGAATAGGATATCTTATCCATTGTAAGACTTTATAGTTGATGACTAATCGTGGGACTCCTCGTTCTTGCTCAGCATTTTTATTGACATAAAACGCAGAGCAGCTCTATGGAGATAAGCTTGGACGAATAAGCTTCTTTTGTAAGAGATCTTTTATTTTCGTATGACAAGTTTGGAGTAATTTCGTATTCATCTGAATAGGATGAGCTTTTGTTGGGATTTTTGTTTCATTAAAATCGGGTTCATATGGTAATCCGACAATATGCTGTTTTCTATTCCAAAAAGCAGTTGGTAATTCATGACATATTTCTTGTTCAATAATACTTTTAAGTTGTATTTTTTGTATCATATCTTTCGTTTGGAGGTTTTCAGTAACAACCTTATGTTTGATTTCAAGTTGTAATGATCCTAGAAAATCCTCTTTTTGTTTGATATGATTTTTAACTGTATTGATCTCTTTGATTTTTGGTTTATCAAGAAAATCGAATTTAATGAGTGTCATGAACACTTGTTTCAATTCCTGATGAGTAATTTTCATTGGATATAAAAGGGTGAGAAAAGGTACTCCAAGGATTACAGCTTGGTTGAGTCCTTTAACCATTATAAAAGTAGTTGAAAAGCAATGGCCTTCATTGCAGATTTTAGCATTTGAGAGTTTATATTTAATGTTGGACGAATAAGCTTCTTTTGTAGGAGATCTTTGATTTCTGTATGACAAGTTTGGAGTAATTCCGTATTCATCTGAATAGAACGAGCTTTTGTTGGGATTTTTGTTTCATTAAAATCGGGTTCATATGGTAATCCGACAATATGCTGTTTTCTATTCCAGAAAGCAGTTGGTAATTCATGACATATTTCTTGTTCAATAATACTTTTAAGTTGTATTTTTGTATCATATCTTTCATTTGGAGTTTTTCAATAACAACCTTATATTTGATTTCAAGTTGTAATGATCCTAGAAAATCCTCTTTTTGTTTGATATGATTTTTAACTGTATTGATCTCTTTGATTTTTGGTTTATTAAGAAAATCGAATTTAATATGAGTGTCATGAACACTTGTTTCAATTCTTGATTGAGTAATTTTCATTGGATATAAAAGGGTGAGAAAAGGTACTCCAAGAATTACAGCTTGGCTGAGTTTTTTAACCATTATAAAAGTAGTTGGGAAGCAATGGCCTTCATTGCAGATTTTAGCATTTGAGAGTTTATATTTAATGTTGGACGAATAAGCTTCTTTTGTAGGAGATCTTTGATTTCTGTATGACAAGTTTGAAGTAATTTCGTATTCATCTAAATAGGACGAGCTTTTGTTGGGATTTTTGTTTCATTAAAATCGGGTTCATATGGTAATCCGACAATATGCTGTTTTCTATTCCAGAAAGCCGTTGGTAATTCATGACATATTTCTTGTTCAATAATACTTTTAAGTTGTATTTTTTGTATCATATCTTTCATTTGGAGTTTTTCAGTAACAACCTTATGTTTGATTTCATGTTGTAATGATCCTAGAAAATCCTCTTTTTGTTTGATATGATTTTTAACTGTATTGATCTCTTTGATTTTTGGTTTATCAAGAAAATCGAATTTAATATGAGTGTCATGAACACTTGTTTCAATTCTTGATTGAGTAATTTTCATTGGATATAAAAGGGTGAGAAAATGTACTCCAAGAATTACAGCTTGACTGAGTCCTTTAACCATTATAAAAGTAGTTGGGAAGCAATTGCCTTCATTGCAGATTTTAGCATGTGAGAGTTTATATTTAATAAACAATATGCTTCCATCTGCAGTATTCAAGATTTGGGTTGTTTTATCAAAATATTTGGTAGGAATTAATCCTTCATTGAGACAGTTGAGATCTGCCCCTTAAGCTAATAATGCTAAAGATTGAAATTCATATTCATCACTTATGACTATTGTTACTAAGATAAACCATTTTTGTGTAATGACTTTATTCAAAACATTTACAGATTTACTTGTAGATGTTTCTCTATGTTGTGGATGAGATGTTTTGATTAGGTGATCAAATTCAATAGAATCTGTATCAGTATCTATTCCTGGGGTTTCATTTTGGAGTTCTAGAATTTGTATTCGATTTTTTAATTGAGCAACTTCTGTTTTTACAAGATTTACTTCTTGCTTGAGATCAGCAATAGTTGGTTCTTTTTGATAGGCTTCATGCTGACTTATACGTTTGATTATATCAAAAAAATTATATTCATCTGGAGGTTTGAGTAATGGAATAGGTTTTGATTTTGTTTTAGCAAGATTGATAAACTGAGAATTACTTCTCGTTTTTCCTCAGGGTCTGAAATTTTCTCTATTAAATCTAATATGAGATTATCTTCTTTTGTCAAAGTATGAATATTAGAAGTAGGAATAGGACATTTACATATGTCATCATCATTTTCGGAACTACTAGATGTATTTGACCAATAAAGGTCTTCATCATGGATATTACCAAGAAAAGATGGATTACTACTGGATGAAGTAGTATCTGAGTCTGAACTAGATGGAGAATCGTAGATTTGGATAATATCATATATTTTATTTCTTATCTGTTCATCTAAGATTACAGCAGCAATTTTCTTTTTGACTTTACATTGGCTTTTGTAATGGCCAACTTTTCCACATTTATAACAGACAGGTAATTTTTTATCCTTTCTTTGGGATGATTTATTAGAAGCAAATCTTTTTGTAAATTTTTTTTTCTTTTTGGAAACATTTGGAGGTTTATCTTGCTTTTGTTTTGATTTAAATTTATGTTTGCGTTTATGGAATTTATGTAAATCATGGGGTTTATTTTTATCAATGTGATAACCAAACTGTTCACAGAAATCTCCTAATTCCTTTTTACCATTTATATTTTGTATCGATTTGTTTCTTTAATTTCATAACTGTGCATAAGGCTAATCCTTCCGCACATATTTCGGCTGATAATTCTCCTAAGGTGTATTGGGAATAGGTGATTGTACCTCCATGCTTATTTTTCAAGTGTACTTTCACCTTTTCAGCAAATAAATAAGGTAAGCCGGCTACGAATTTTTCTTTCCAATGATCTAAATGACTATCTTCTCGTATAAGTAAACGAGAGAAGAAAACGTCTTTATACCATTTATAATGGGATAATGTAGGACATCTGAGGTTTGATAAAAGATCAGCAGATCTTGCTGCTAAGATAACAGTATTGCCTATGAAATGTAGGGCGATGGTATATATTAAAGTATTAACAGCATCACTTTCAGTGTATAACATGTCTTGGTTGTGTTCATTCTTTGCTGTCCAATTTCGGGTATTTGTCAAAATCTGTTGTTTTGTTTGATCATTGAGGTGGAAATCCCACCATCCTCTAAGCCAATCAGTAAATCCAGATACAACGGCTTTTGATAATTCCTGGCATGGCTTCCAGCCATCTTACATGCTGATGCGTACATTGTCATATGTCGCATAGTATCTAGTATTTGGTGATCTGAAATTCCATCAATACTCCAATTGCTGATGGTCCTACCAGTATAAGTTGAGGTATGGCTAACTAGATCTTCTTCTAATTGTATATCAACAGGAGTTGGTCTCTTATAATATGGTTTAGCATTTATTGGCTGTCAATTTTTGCTATAATTGATTCGATGAATATTGTCTGAAGAAATACTATGTTCTGTGAATGCTTTTTGCATATTTGACAGAGTATTTTTAATTTGGGGCTCAGGGTCTTCTTCTTGAAGAGCCATATTATCATGGACGGGTAGCTTTTCTTCTGTCTTCTGAATTGGCTCCAAGACTTGTTTCAATAATTGTTCTCTTGGGTTCTTTGAGTTCTAATTTGGATAATTTGGATATTAACTGATCCATGAGAGTTTTATTATCATCTCCAATAAAGAATTGTCTTTATTTATTTCAAGAAGAGGTTTAAAGAGAATTTTCTTTGGTTCATTTTGTCGTGTGGGAGTTAACAAATTCTCAATTCCAACCATTTGTTTTCCAAGAGTTTGAAGATAAAGGTTTGTATAATTGTTTTGTTCAATTATATGGGGAAGTAATTCAATACGAGACATATTTGCATTATTTAATTTATAAGGAGTAGCTACAGTTTCATAAAGGACTATTTAGGTATGAGAGGTTGATTCTTCGTCTTCATTGTCAGTTTTTGTGGGAGTTTTTGAAGGTGCTCCCTTGATTTTGAGGCTTTTCTCAAGAGGATGGATTGAAGTAATCGGTTTTCCCTCTGTTGTATTAAATACAGTATATTGAGATTCAAGTGTTTGAAGATGAATTTTGGTATAGGAATAGAGTATTGGTGTAAAATATCTTTT